ACTTCTTCGCCTTTTTCAATTGTTTACTATTGGCATAGATGTTCAGGGGAATATAGTTTAGACTCTCTTTCATAACTTCTGTTTTTGATGAGCTTGTTTCCATGTTAAATTTCTCGCAGCTGTTGTTCAATGCGGTAGTGTGATTTTGGAGGCTTTGTTGGTTTGAATGAATAAGACATTTGTCGTCTGCGAATAGAAGTTCTTTTAGGCAACGCAGGGAAAATATACGCAAATAATTTTATAACAGCGGATAAGACCTATTGTAGAGAGAAATCTGGGCAAAGCTCAGTTTGGATTCCAGATTTGTACAGGTGATTGGTTGTTTTATACAGGTGGTTGTTATGGCAGGTTCGACTGTATTGCATTCACTACGCCGGGGTCATGAAGAGATGTGAGATGTCTTGGTCTCAACATGACTGTAGATCTCCTAGAGTTGTTTTGGTTGCTTTCTTTTTTTTGGGGGGGGGGGAGGGGGAGGGGGGTAAGTGTTTACAGTGCCACCACTGCATACGGCAATAGGAGCACGCCGGACACCTTTGAACCCATTTTCAGTTGGTAGGAAATTTTGAATTTTGCCTAGGTGGCGGCTGAAGCCTACTCTAGTCTTATCATTTTTTTTACCACCAAGGGATTTTGAACGTGCGCAACTTGCACACGGGGCGTTCGAGATTTTTCGCCGGTATCCGAGAAGACTAAGTGTTAGATCTTACCTACCATTAGATCAGGGGTGTGGCTGAAAGACAGCAGTAAGAAGAAGCCAAGGAGTAGCAGTAGAAAGGCTGCAGAAAAAGTCAGGAGCCCAGAGGAAGGGGCTAAGGAGGTAAGGGGGTGTGGGGCTGAAAGGGGAGACGAAAGTAAACGACAGAACATCGTTAGAGAGCAGGAAAGGGGGTGAAAGGAGAACATTTTAGAGAAGAAAATTTACCATCGCTGTCCGGACTCGGACCCAGGATCTATTGAATGAGAGGCTAACACTGTAACCTCTAGACCACGAGACCACCGCCTCCTAAATCAACAAGTAATAGTGGGAAGTAAGACCCACTAAACATCAAATTAACTCGGACAAAAACTTAAAAGAGAAAAATAATAACATACGCACAGAACAAAAACTCATAGATTTTAGAAAGAGAACACATAAAAAAAGCAAACTTAATATTCCAAAATTTACAAGCAGTTAATACATGTAAGTTTGGAACGTTCTTCTTCTTTCACTTTGACCTGCTGTTTCTATTTCCATCCATCAAACATTTTACAATTTAAAAAATCTGAAACAGCATTGCGCCTATTTCGTCAAGAGGCAGTTTTCCTTTGTAACAACCACAGCATCTGAGAGAGAGAGAGGTGGAGGTGGTGAGCAAAAGACGAGCAGTCCATAGCGACCTATTCTTGTTTGATTCTTTGTTCATGAGGAACGTGATATCAAAACAGATTTGCTATTGAGAATGTAATGAGTAGATGGAGTCAGATGAGACTTCTAGAAAAAAATTAGGGCCTTTTTCTTTTACTCTGAAAAAAATATAGGCCTAAAATGAGCACAACGGTTGGGTTTACAATTACGCTTATAACACAAGCACACAATCTCACATACGCAGAATAGAAGAATATGCATCTTGGTCTTGAAAAGTTTTTTTGTCAACAAGGCAATAAATACGCATGACCGCACTTAAAAGGGTTAAAAAATGAGGACAAATTATAATGCAGATTTAATATGGACGCGCGGGCACTCCTTTTCATAGACGGTGTCTAGACTTTTGTTCTGTAACGAAATAAACAGCTCATGCGGTATGTATGTTATATGTATGTATTTTTGTATGAATGTACGTTTGTGTGTGTGTGTGTGTGTGTGTGTGTGTGTGTGTGTGTGTGTGTGTGTGTATTTCATTTACACTGTATATAACGCTATATGTCTTATTTCAAACTTAATGTACCTGTTTTTCATGAACACACCAGACGAGAACGATGTGTCTGGTAAGGACAATGAGGATTGTTATTTTTATTAGCGAATGGAATTTTTTTCATTATTACTACAAGCTTTTGAAGGGGGGGGGGGGGGGGTGCACAGGAAGAAGAGGGAATGTCAACTTTTCAAATTTTTGTGATAAGCTAATGATTAGATATGTCATAATGATGAACTTGTCCACACATAAGTCTGGCTGAAAAAAGGGGGGAGAGTCACGAGGTATACAATGTGTACTATGCAAGAAAGGAGAAAGTCAAACTTTAAAATCGTTTTTTTTTTTCCTTCTCGAAAAATGAAAAAAAATTACATTACCCCTTTTTCCTTTGCCCATGTAGGTTTTGGATGGTTGGACGAGACAGAAAAGTTTGCAGGGCTTTGATGGTGTTGTCTGTTGCATTTTGTTTAATTGGAAATCCCTTGCAACACAATACGGTCAAATGAGAGATATTAAATTTAATAGTGCAGCTAGTATAAGATCACCAGGTAGCCACGGGCCTACGGAAGCGGGGACTGTAGGCCCATGCAACTGGAATGACCGTTAGTTAAGATTTACATCCCTTGCAACACAGTGAGGTTATTTGAGAGACGCCATCTCAAATTTCAACATCAGTCTGCCTTAGGACATTGACTTCATGCGAGCCAGGTATCAAAGCCCATTAAACCTCTGAAAAAATTTGGTTTTATTGGTTTCATATCGCCTCCTGTGGGATTTGAGCCAAGGAGGACCTCCTGTCCTGCAGGCGAGTGACTTAACCATGAAATTAGATTAGATCTTGGAATTTTAGAACCTAATATGGAGATACGACATTTGTACTTTGCGGCATTCAGTTCTCTTTTTCAGAAAACTGCGTTTTCTTAAAATCAAAATCGTTTCTCACTTCCACAGCAAAACAGCCAAGAGTCGAAACTTGAAACATTGGCTATACGCACAAACAATGGGTAGACCTAACAGTTAGACGAATCAATTTGTGGTTGATTTGAATCTAGAGCATTCTCAAACTTTGAAGGCCTATTTCTCAAAACCAGAGTGTATGGACATACGACAGTTGCACTCTGGGCCGACCATTATATACGTCGTCACAGAGAGTTGAAAGCTTGAAAATTAATGGCAACTTTTTTGAGGCAACTTTTGCCAACTTTTGGACAAAAAAATTGCAACAAACGAAGATGCTGGGTCTACGACTGCTGCATTTTCCCAGTATTTTAACGAGCAGCCTACGTGGGCCTCTTTCAGTACTACATAATTTTTCATTCCATGAAATTTGAACCACGGAAACCACAATTCTATGTCTTCAAGCTTAATTTCACTATCTTTGATATTTGTCCATCATTCGCAGCCGTATAGAACGGTTGACTAGACATAGGCTTTTAAAACTCTTATTTTGATTTTCACTGAGATGTTTCTTGGGTTTTTTTCAGGATTGGATTCATTTGGTCAAAACTGTCTTTCCCTTAAACATTTTTTTTTGGGGGAGGGGGGGGGGGCTTGAGAGTTCTGTGGTACATTAAGCTTCATGTATTATGATGTATCCTAAATTTTAAAAGAACTGTTAAACTTGTTTAAACTTGCCGTCTTTTCCTATGAGATTAAAAAGGCAATGTATAATGCACAACTTTTTTCTCGAAATTTCCTTGCATTCTGTTTTCTTTATATTTGAAAAACCCTGCTACGTTCACTTTACATCACAACTGTATTGGGAGCATTGGAGCTTCTTTTTTTCTGAATATGTACCGTATTGAAACTGTTATCGGTGTGTTTGAGATTATTGATAATCTTTCTTTTCACTTGGAAACCAGGACTTTCTTCTATATTTCTAAGGATTGTTTCACTTAACATTTTGTTAAAGTTGTCCCCCCCCCCCCGCTCCGTACTGGACAGTGCTACTGACTGATTTGTATTAAGGCCATTCCCAAAGGCGAAATATTAACATGCTCTTCTTAAGCACGGTAGAATTGTAAATGGGCTGATTTATCAATGTCATGCTCACACTGTCCCGGAATAAAATAGAGGGAACTACTGCTTTTTCTTTCATCATCCTTACTGTCGTCATTTTTCCTCTACCTCTTTTGTATGTTTGCCACTCTCTTGTGAAGTGCTATTTCCGGGATGCATTGATAGTCAAAGCAGAGTTTGTGCTGTTGAGGCTAGAGAGGTGAGCAGAATAAGTCTTATTCCCCGTTTAGACTTCTCTGTTGACATCCACCCCTTGGCGTTCATATTATTATGACATTATGCAGTAGCGAGCGGCGTAAAAACCTTGCTAAAACACACACTCACACAAATTGCCCAATAACATATCAACACAGTCTTGCCTATCAACTCTTTTAATCTTTTTACTTTGCTGTACTCTCTGCCTCAGTTCGTTCAAAAGTGTTTGGTACCGGTATTTAGTAAAGATTTCAAATAATCTCTACGTATTATATTTGTGAAAGTTCGTCACTTTTGCAGCCTAAAACTTCCGAATAAACTTAACTTTCGAATTTGATAAAAAATTATTGGTGGTTCAGAATCTTTTACAAGGTCCACAGTTTCATTGAAGAGCCTGAAGTCACTGTAGTTTAATTTTCAGTTTTTCATTAGTTTCGTTTAGATCTAATCTTGGGAAAGTCCGTCTTCTAAGACGCCATTGTAAACAAAAGAAGTTTAAGTTCACTAGCCGTTCGCGCTGGTTCAACATATTTCAGATTCTGGAGTTTTCAACCACGAAAGCGGAATGGAGAATCAATCTATACATCTATTATATATTTGACAACTTGGAAACACTTGTGTCTCTTTTCTCTCAAGATTTTTTGCTCCATTCCAGCAGAGTATATATATAGTAGGCCAATGACTTTCAGTTGATGTTAATGCACCGATCATTCCTTTTATCGAAAGGGGGCCCAGCTACTTCTTCAATAATTCCTTCCATCTATATCTAGGTCTTTCATAATTCGTCGTGCCTACCTCGTGTCCTTCACGGTAATCTAAATAGGTTAATGTTTTGGATAACACAGTGTCGTAACAGGCAAGGTCTTGTGTCGAGACTAACAACAACGCTGAGATAACAAAATGTTATACAATTAATTGCTGAAGGTAAATAGACTGCCCACTCCATATGAGCTGGCAGTGAAAACTTTCATGTTATCTGGAAAAGGATTAAAAGATATTCAGCCGTGTTTAACGTTATTTATTTTCCCGCACAAAACTGCACAATATAAAAGGGTGAGTTCTTACACTCTTTTGAGTTTGTTTGAATAAAAAGAAGCATATCGACACAGTAATAGTTCTTTAGTGCTGGGAAAAACTTAGACAAACAGACAGAAACAACAGAGGGAAAGTAAAGAGGTAGGACCTACCAGTGACACCCTCCAAACACCCGCTTCTTATACTCTTGTAACCTATAGAGCAGCTTTGACAGATTGTAAATAAAAGGATTAAGGCTGTGGTTGTAACTGTTTTTTTTCTCCCTATGTCAAGATATTTTCTACAGTGTTTTATGGAAGTTGTTAAATAGTAGGATGCATTATGTTTGAAGTGCATACGCGAATGATGCTTAACAGTTTTAGCTTTATGCATTATTTCGAAAAAAAGTTCCACATTTTTAGTTTAAATGCTCCCCAAGAATGTGGTTCTTTAGGCTATGTAACATTTTTCTCAGTATCTTAATGTTTCCACATATCAGTAAGAAGAAAACACATTTATGTGTGAGGTCGATATATAACTTGACAGAAGATTTAATAGGCTATAGAAAATGCATTAAAATGAAACTGATTTATTGAACTTACTCAGGATAAGATCGTCTACTGTGATCATTCTGTTAACAATTACGTTAATACCCATCTCTACACGCGGACATATCTCAATCCACTACAACAGTTTTGAAGTTGTATTCACTCGTGTTTGTATTTTTTTCATAACTTACATACTATTATAATTTCGTTATCTTAGACATAATAGTGCTATTCAATATTTCAATTTTAGACATGGCTCATATCATGTAACCTTACAATACGTTTTGGTTCTCTTCACTCAGCGGTAAGTTTTGCTACTCTACTTTTTTCTGTTTGACATAAAGGAGCTTGAAATACTGCCTCATTATACTTTGCCGTGTAGTTAAAGTATTCTCTGTCAAGATTCATTCTCTTCCATGTCTGCTACGGACATTGTGCAACGCAAGGTTTTTTGAAGATCATAGGATATTGTCATTCAGGTCACGTCACTTACGACGAGATAGTCGTTACTTTATAAAAATCTAAATTGTTAATCAAACTGCTGCGTTAGAAAGCATTCAGTGCAAGCTGCCCGCTTACTGTTGCTTAAACGCTATTGACAAGAACTTTCACTATCTTTACATGGGTACATAATATTATTATCTGGTTGATGTGGGGAATTCTTTTGTGAAGAAGCTTTTTTCCAGAGGACACAACGTGGGCATAGACCAATGTTCGAACCCTCGACCATATTGGTTGTGATTCTAACAGATTGCAGATCACTAGATCTAGACTGCCGCCATTCCGATATTGAAGAACGAGTGTTGTAAAAAAAAAGAGAACTCTAGTGTAGTACTCGGTCTACCAGGAAAGACATGTTTTTTTAATTACGTGCAATATATAACAAACCGTCAATACATGCCAAAGCAGTTCCAGAAAATTTTGTTCCAAATACGCTTCCGCGACGGAGCATTTTGTTCTACCAGTGTGGACATGTCTTGTACAAGGATAGCCCAGTGACCACTCCTCTGGTCATCGTCTCACCCACATGGCCTTGTTGACATCGTTTGTGTATCATGTTGCTCTTGTTTATGTCTACGCTGCACTTATTTGCAATGACAGATGTTGTTCTCACTATCTTCACCCTCGTCACTGTTTTTTTTAAATTGTTATCGTTATCACCGTCTTCCTCTAGGGTTTGTTAATCCTACAGTCATAATTGTTATTACTGTATACATTGCTGTGACTGTTGTTGTTGCAGGGGCTGTTGGTGTTGATGTTGTTGTTGTTGTCGTTGTTGTTGTTGTTGTAAGTCTGGTGATGGTGTTGTTGTTGTTGGTGTTGCTGTTGTTGTTGTTGTTGTTGTTAAAGTTAATGTTTTCGTTGTTGTTGTTGCTGTTGTTGTTGTTGTTGTTGTTAAAATCATTTGTTTTTGTTGTTATTTAAGTTATTGTTGTTAAAGTTGTTTGCTTTGTTGCGGTTGTTACGCTTGCTGTTTTTTGCTGTAACGAGACTGCTGTCAGAGGCCAGAGGTGCCAGTGGTGTGTAACGGCTTCCGATATCCCTTATATATTTATTTTGTTGATTTTGCTGGAGTTGTGCGAAATTTGTCGTCTTCATCGTAGTCATGGTTGACCTTTTTCATCAACAATAATTTTGAAAAAACCCTCTTTTATCTTTTTTTTTCGCGAGGAGAGGACGGAGGGAAAAAAGGAGGGATGGGGCGGGGGCGGGGGGTGTTCTTTGCTTTTGACAATATCTGCTGTACCATTCTAATGGTATGAAAATACGATCTGTTCATGCTCTTACTTGTATTATTAAATGGAACTGATGTTATTTTTATTCAAACAGAGAGAAAACAATACGTTGTTCCATCTTTTGCCAAGCCTAAAGTAGCGCGATGGAAGAATCAGAAACAAACAATGTCCTCGTGTTCTACGTCAACGGTTCTAAGGTACGAGATTTTAACAGTTCTGTGACAATAGTTGTTGTCCAGTATTCTGAGCTTTCCCCACATCGAAAGACTCACTGCAATGTTACTAAATTTGCAACAACTTTTCTATCTATTACTATTATTGATTTCAAGAAATCAGAAAAGTAGTAAAACCTGCTTCCTCTTACTCATCTAGCAGTTAATAATTATGCCACTCTTTCTATAAACGATAGTACAGTTTTGCATTTCTTTTTTAAACTGTCTTTCAAAAAGAGGGAGGCATGTCAATCGTTGCATGCTTTTGCCCCTTGGTGGTTTCAGCGTTAGTTTCACTCTTGTCCATTCATTAGCTGATGTAAATATTATATTCTAGAACACATCTTTATGTCATGATAAATCGACATTGAAATTCGAATAGTCAGTTACACCTGAGCCCAGAGTTATATGAGTATTTACCGTAACCAGGAATTTAAAGTAGAGAAAATAGGTTAGTGATCTCCTGTTAAATCTAAGTTGCGTACTTTTCCTTTTTCATGATATAGGCTATTGTACATTTGTTCTTACTTAGTGTGTTTATTGGTTTTCTTAATTCTAGATCACGGAACCAAACCCAGATCCTGAGATGACCTTACTGACCTACGTTCGGACTCGGCGTATCCTTAGCAACCACTGCAGCAAGCATGCAACAGAAAAAGGGGGAGGGAGGAAGGAAAAAATGAGGAGGAGGAGGAGGAGGTGGTGGTGAAGGAAGGGGGAAAGAAAAACGAGATGGAGGAGTGGAGGAGAGTAAAAAGGAGGAGGAGGAGGAGGAGGAGGTGGAGGATGAGGAGGAGGAGGATGAGGAGGAGTAGGAAGAAGAGGCCTGATAAACTGCGAAAAAATGTTACTGGTGTTCACAGACAAGAAATTCGTAGATAAGAAAGAGTAAACTGGTGTGATGATACTGTCATTGTTCTACCTTAACCAAAGATAATATTCCTGCTAGTCTTTACCCTTACCAATGATGATAATTATTATGTTATTATTCTGCCTCGACCAAAGATACACGGAATATATAAGATGAAATCATTGTTATACTTTTACCGAAAATACTAAGCTTTAATATCCTTGTTATGCCATCATCAATGGTAACAGTTTTGTTCGCCTTTTACAAGAAATAATATTATAGTTATGCCTTTACCAAAAATGCTGATATCACTATTATGCCTTTATCAATGGTAACAGCTCTGATTACCCTAAACGAAAATAATGTCATTGTTGTGCCTTTAACACAGATATTGATATCAATGTTATGCCTTTACCAAAAAATACCCATATCAGTATGATGCGTTTACCAATGATAACAGCATTGTTTACTCTTTGAAAAATTATCAATGTTTTGCCGTTTAGAATGGTAACAGCATTGTTTTTCCGTGATGAAAAATAACATTATTGTCATGTATTTATCGAAAAACAACATTACTGTTATTCCTTGACCAAAGCGAAGTTCGCCTGACAGGAAGCAAACTCGGCTGTGGCGAGGGGGGATGCGGTGCGTGCACAGTCATGGTGTCAAAGTACCTTCCAGGACAGGACACGGTCGCATATCCTTTAATCAGTTTAAGTTTTTAAAGTTATCCGATTGTACTCTGCCTTCACACCTTGACCCCAGGATAAAAAAGAGAGATCCTTTTATTAAAAAAGCATGTTGATAAAAAAAACCAGAACTCGTTTCGTAACGGGTAAAAACAAAAGTTTATGCAGTGCATGATAAAAGATTTACAAATACGTGGGTCATAGAAATGCATATTTGAGAGAAAATCGGTGTGGTG